AGTGTGCTTACTGCCGAAAATGGAAGAAAAGGGGCAGAATGCCGGTGTTGACACACCGGGGCCGTCGTCGATGGCGGAATGCCCTGAAATCACCATCGTTCTCAGTGGTGAGAGTATGTTCGTATATGGAAACGTGCGGAGTGAAGACCCAGAAGAGCGTGCTACGTCCCCGGCTCGTGGCGGCGATTACGACTGGGCGACGTGTGAAGTAAACGAATTCAGTAGTTTGTTTAGAAACAGAGTAGTATTAGCAGATTGGGTAGAAAATAGCTGTATTTTGAGAACCCTAGGTTATAAGTCGTGTGTGAAGTTGGTGGCTTGTAACGAGGATGAGAGAGTTTTCCACTAATAAGAGAGTTTGTAGCTGTATTTACATTTCTTTAGGTGTCGACCGGTCGCGAAGAAGGGTTGGGTGTCGCTGATTTCGGAGCCGGGTAATGCTCTTTTAGAGCTTTACTTGCAGTCATACAAGGGCTTTAAAGATAAATTCTTTAAAGTGTCGATTCTCGACTCCGGGCGGAGGTACTTTTTTGAAGATGAGAGTCCCAAATTTCCGCTGTACTGGACGTAGGATCCGTTGAAGTTCACCTCATGGGCTGAGGATAAAATGACGATCGACGAGTTAGAGGCTCTGAATGTATTGAGGGCATTCCCACGCCCCTTTTCTTCCCGTCGGCTCATAAATTGCCTTGAGCACGATGACTTCGAGTCCAGGGTATTTGGTATGTTTCTCTTATTGTTATTTTTTGTTGTTGCTTTGTTGTTGCTGATGGTTTTGGAGGGACTTTTGTTTTGTTTTGAAGAGATAATGGGGAGGAAAGGAACTGTCCGCAATTGGTTTCAAGCATTCGACATTGAGAAGGCGGATGTTGACCGTCCAGGGTCGTCTTCCAAATCTACTCAAGCTCATCCGGCTGCGCCGATCGTGTTGTCGATTTCTCCTGACGAAGCAACGGTCGTTGAAGAGTAGCCCTTGATAAGAAAACGGAGAGGCAAAATGATCGGTATCAGTGGTGCAGTGTCGATGAAGAGGAAGGAGACTGTAGAGGAGACAGAGCACCCTCTCCCTAACGGTGTGTGGGACCCCTCCTTTACCCTGAGTCATAAGATTGAGTTTAATCTGGATAACTCTGAAAAGAGGGTGGTAGAGAGCATGACTGAGCAATAAATGGTCGATGCCATGCTGGAAATGGTAAGTCGAACAGCTATGGCTGCTTGGCATATGGCGTATGCCTCTGATAGAGGCGTATTGCGGGTTGAATTGGAGAAGGCGCGGTCACAACTGAAGGAGCTAACGGAGACCCACGCCAGCTGTGACCAAAAGCAGAAGCAGTCGGAGAAGTTATTGGGCGAGGCCCAAGTGCTGCTGAATGGTACTCGTGCCGCTGGCCTGGCTTTGAAGAAGGAGCGTGATCAGGCGTTGAGCGAACTTGAACAGGTGAGGAAGATAGTGGCGGCGCTGGCCAAAGAGAGGGATGATTTGCGGGCTGCAGCGGTCGAGGACTAAGAAATAAAGGAGGAAATGAAGGAAGCCATAATTGTAAAGCATACCAGGGGCTTCCAGAAAGCTCTGAGGCAGGTCGTGCATCTTCTTGAGGTGTCGACCGAGGGGGTGGCGTTCGACGTATGGAAGGACGTGCATGAGGGTCGAATGCTGCCCCTAAGGGAGATTCCGGCAGATGCCTTTCTGGAGGCTGAAGAAGCTGCGGACGAGGAGGTGATCGTTGCTGATGATCCTAACGAGGCGGTCGCCGCGAATGAACTAGCGGCAGAAGTGGTCGGAGAATCTGTTGTCGGATCTCCTAATGTTGTAATAGATTAGGCATCAGAACATTTATGTGTTGTTGGACGTATGTGTCGACTGGAACTGTATGATTTTGAATATTTGAACTTTATGCAATGCTGAATTTATATTCGTGTTGTATGATCGATAAAATTTTCTCGTTTTGACGTGAGGTAGGCATTGATAGAGTTTATTAACGATCGTCTAGGTTGAATGTGCTGGGTGTTCGAGGGTGAACATCTACCAGGGGATTAATATCCCGAACATAACTGGGTGTTCGAGGGAGAACATCTACCAGAGGGAGGGTATCCCGACTCGTCTGGGCGTGGATGTGCCTGGGGTGAACTTGCATCCGGCCGAGCACTTGCTTTTATCTGGTTACTCGAGGGCGACCGTGTAACATGCCGAATAAAGTTAGAAGAATGTAACCCTGGGACTCGACATGTGAGAAACTATAAATGAAATAATAAATAAAAATAAAATATGTCATTTATTTGGAATTGAGACGAATAATGTGCCATGAATATAAGTGAACGTCAACTAAAATAATATTTCAGGTGAGTAGCATTCCACGTGTTGGGGACAGGTTGTCCGTTGAGGAGTTGGAGGCGGTATGCCCCATTCATCAGGTCCTCGACGATGTGGAATGGTCCCTCCCAGTTGGTCGCTAACTTGCCATGTGCTCGATTCTTCCTGGCTTCTCCCCGTTTCCGCCACACAAGATCGTCGTTTTTGAACGCTCGTGCCTTGACCTTAGTGCTATAACGGTGGGAGAGCATTCTCTTTTGAGCTTCTGCACGAACGGTGGCAACTTTTCGACGCTCGGGCAGGGTGTCGAGATTCATCCGCAATTGTTCATCATTAAGTGTCATATTGGCGATGTCTCGTCTTAGCGAGGGCTCTCCGACCTCGACCGGGAGCATGGCATCAGTGCCGTAAGTTAAGTTGAATGGAGTGTCCCTGGTGGATCCGTGCGGAGTGCATCTGTACGCCCATAAGACTTTGGGCAGTTCCTCCACCCATAAACCTTTGGCTTCGCTGAGTCGCTTCTTCAATTCAGTGAGTATGGCTTTGTTCGCGGCCTTGGCTTGTCCATTCGTTTGTGGATGTTCCACCGAGCTGGTGACGTGTTTAATGCCCAAACTGCTGAGGAATTCCTCCAATTTTCGCTCGATGAACTGGCGACCATTGTCGGTGATGATTTTCTGTGGTAGACCAAATCGACAGATCAAGTGCCAGATGAACTTCTGTACTCGCTGGGTGCTGATGATGGACAGTGGTTCGGCCTCTATCCATTTGGTGAAATAGTCGACTGCCACTAGGAGGAATTTGTTCTGTGCTTTGGCGAGGGGCAACGGTCCGACTATGTTGAGTTCCCATTGAGCGAACGACCAAGGACAGATGATGCCATGCAACTCTTTGGCAGGGTTGTGGATATCATGACTGTGGGCCTGGCAGGAGATACATTTTTTGACAAACGTCTTGCAATCTTGATCGATCGTTGGCCAGTAATATCCTACGCGAAGTATGCGTGCTCTGAGTGTACGCTTACCCGAATGAAACCCGCAGATCCCAGTGTGAAGTTCACGCAAGACGTAGTCAGCTTCTTCCCCCGATATGCATTTCAACAAAGGAGTGCTATGACCGCGTCGGTATAGGTCGTCACCTATGTACAAAAAACGTGCGATGCGTTTTGAATCACTCGCGGTAATTTTTTCCCCTCGCTCCTGTTTCATCATCAAATCCCTAACTTTTTGTCGCCAATCCGTCGCCGGTGACGAAACATTGGTGACGAAAGCTTCCACGGCTGGGTGGTCGAGAGTCATTTTAATGATTGAAGACAACTGTGCTCGCTCCTTGGAGTGAGTTAATTTAGATGGGAGATCTGCTCTCGTGTTTTGCTCCTGGGGTATATGGATAATGCTAACCTCGACAAAGTCCTTGAGTAGGGTGCGAGCTTTGTGGAAGTAGCGCAGCAATTGATTATCCTTAACCTGGTACGTTCCGTTCATATGTCCGACCACCAACTGTGAATCCATCCTACACTCTAGACGAGCGACCGTGAGTTCCTTGGCCAGGGCTAGACCAACAATCAGAGCTTCATACTCGGCCTGGTTGTTGCTGGTGGGAAATCTGAATGTGATGGCTTGCTCCACGATTAGACCGTTTGGTCCTTCCAGAACAATACCAACTCCTCCCCCCTTTTGTCCGAGGATCCGTCCACGTTGAGGAGCCACTTTGGTGTCGAATCATCGGGTGCGGGTGTTAACTCAACTGCAAAGTCTGCCAAGTGCTGACCCTTAACGGATCCCTGAGGTTCGTAACGGAGTCCAAATTCTGAGAGTTCCACCGACCAGGAGACCATCCGCCCTGCTAAGTCGGGTTTGCGAAGGATTTTGGCAATCGGGTGATTAGTGCGGACCACCACCTGATGACTTTGGAAATACGGTCGGAGTCGACGCGAAACCGTGAGCAGGGCCAATGCTACCTTCTCAATTTGAGAATATCGTTCTTCCGCTCCCTGTAGTGTACGGCTGACAAAGTATATTAGCCTAAGGAAGGGGGTCTCTTACACCAAAGCAGCACTGACAGCCTGATGGGATGCCGCGATATATAACTGTAAGTCGGATCCAGCTACCGGTCTCGCCATAATCGGAGGGCTGGTGAGAATGTGTTTGACAGCGTTGAAGGCTGTTTCACAATCATCATCCCAGTGCTGGGCGGTGCCCTTCTTCATGTTCTTCAGGATCGGTCTGATGTGTTCAGCTAGTTTCGGAATGAAGCAAGATAAGGCTGTGAGCCTACTGACCAAACGTTGTACCTCCCTCAGGGTTTTTGGACTTGGCATGTCGAGTACGGCTTTGCATTTGTCTGGGTTGGCTTCGATGCCTCTACATGTAAGCATGAAACCCAAGAACTTACCAGCCGGGACTCCGAAGGTACATTTGGAAGGGTTGAGTCGCATGTTGTATCTCCTGATATGGAAAAACACTTCCTCCAAATCCTTTAGATGCTGCTCCACAGATTGGCTCCGAATAACCATGTCGTCGACGTAGACATCCATGCATCGTTGGATTTGATGATGGAAAACTTTATCCATGAGGCGTTGATATGTGGCGCCGGCATTCTTCAGACCGAACGACATTACTTCATAATAGTAATTAGCGCGTTCGGTAATGAAAGCTGTTTTGCTCTGATCGGGCGCGTACATGGGGATTTAGTTGTATCCCGAGTACGCATCGAGAAAACTGAGTACAACATGACCGGAAGCTCCATCTACCAACCAATCGATGCTAGGCAAGGGATATGAATCCTTAGGGCACGCCTTGTTGAGGTCAGTGAAGTCTACACACATTCTCCATTGGCCGTTAGACTTCTTGACCATGACCACGTTCGACAACCACGTGGTGTAAGTTATCTCTCTGATGAACTGGGCGCTCATCAGCTTCTTGACCTCGACCTGGATGGCATCGCGTTTGTCTTCCCCAAACCGTCGCTTCTTTTGCGCAATCGGGCGCGCCTCCCTGAAGATGGACAATTTATGGGCCATGATTCCGGGGTGGATCCCCGACATATCGGCGGCCACCCACGCGAACAAGTCAGCATTGGTTCGTAGCATTTGTGCCAGATCCTGTTCATCGTTTAAAGCAAGGCTCCCACCAATGGTCGTGGTTTTGGACGCGTCCGCTCCCAGCGGAAGGGGTTTGACATCTCCTTGTGGATGAAGACGTTCATCTATATTGGTTCTGGGGTCAAAGTCGATCGCTGCTGTTTCAGCCCCTCTCGCCCTCCTAGATGGTATAAAAGGGGTGACTTTGAGTCCGGCAACGTAACATTGTCGAGCCGTTCGTTGATCAGCCTTTACAGTACAGATAGTGCCTCACTCCGTGGGGAACTTCATGGCCAGGTGAAGGGTGGACACGATGGCTCTAAATGCGTTCAAGCAAGGTCTCCTAATAAGGCATTATACGAGGTATTTGCTTCTACCAATAGGAACCTGACTCTAAGCTCTGGTGCATCCCGACATGTCCCGAGTCGAGTTCGTAGGTCGAGGTACCCCGAGTATTGACTTTTTCCCCTGAGAAGCCTACAATTTGTTCGTTAAAAGGGGCTATTAGATCCTCGGACAAGTCCATCTTTTTGAAGGTGGACCAGTATAGGATGTTGACCGAACTGCCCTGATCGACGAGGACCTTGCTGACATCGTACCGAGCTATTTCGGCCGTGATGACCATGGGGTCATCATGATCAGGGTCGGGCGCGTGAAAATCTGCGTCGGTGAACGTGATATCAGGTATAGACTGAGGCTGCCGATCCACCATGTGCACCGACCTTAAATGTCTTAAATGTCGTTTCCTGGCGGAGGCTGACGCTCCCCCCGGCGAAGCCACCTGATATGGTGTCGATTCGGCCTCGGACCGACCTCTCTCTCTAAACGTCGGGGTTGGCTGCGGGATCGCCTTCGGCGTCGGTCGTCCCTAGGAGGCGATCGTTCGGGGCTTCGTCGGGAGGACTCCTTTCGGTGGGGAGTTGTCGCTCTGGTGGATGTCTTGTCCTTGACATAGTTTTGGAGGTAACCTGCTCGGATGAGTCTTTCCAAGTCATCTTTCACCATGTTACACTCTTCTGTATCGTGACCGTGGTTCATATGAAGGCGACATGCCTTACTATTGTCCGCATGCTTCGGAGTGGCTTTTCGTCGAACAGTCAGAGTTCAGCGTGCAAAGCCTCTTCGAGCACCTTTGTCCTAGGTGCGTTGAGGGATGTGTAGCGATCGTACTTAAAGGTCCACCCTGATTCTTTTCAGGGTGGTCAATCTGTTTTATAGTCATTGGTCAACCGTTTTGTGGTTTTCTTAGCCTCTTGGTTTGGGCTATCCTGTTGTTGTTTCTTTTTGGAATTTCGGAGATCTTCAATTCGGATGAATTTCGCAATTGTGGATTGGAGTTCCTCCATAGACGTTGGCGGGTCAGCATACAACTATTTCGCGAAATACCCCGGCCTTAAGCACGAAGGTAGATTCTGATAATGAAGGTATGGTTTACGTCTTTCACACGTCGGGCCGTTGTTGAGAGGGTCGCACCTCTAACAAAAGTTGTGCATAAAAGAATGCAGTATAGTGCTAGGAAGTGACTCCTAGGTCGTCTCTCAAGGACCAAATGTGGTTCGAGTCTTAGGACAAACACGCAGTGGGGGGGTTTGAAAAATTTTTTGTGAATGCAAATGACTAAATTAAAATTGGAAATGAAATAAAACCAAACAGACTAGTGACTAAAAACACATGAAAGAACTAGCCTACTAGATCGAACGTTCTATGTTAGCCTAGGGAATACTAGATCATAAACTAATTAAATACATAAACTAATTAAATGCATAAACCCTAATCAGANTGTGGTTCGAGTCTTAGGACAAACACGCAGTGGGGGGGTTTGAAAAATTTTTTGTGAATGCAAATGACTAAATTAAAATTGGAAATGAAATAAAACCAAACAGACTAGTGACTAAAAACACATGAAAGAACTAGCCTACTAGATCGAACGTTCTATGTTAGCCTAGGGAATACTAGATCATAAACTAATTAAATACATAAACTAATTAAATGCATAAACCCTAATCAGAAAAAAAACGAGACTTCAAACAATACATCAAGCACCTTGCAGCAAATAAATCACCGAGCTTCTAAATTAAAAGAAAGAAAATACTGTATCCCCTTTTCTTCATTGAAAATCGCGCAAACTTCAATTGTAAAAGCAGCAAAATAATGAATAAAATCCATTCTCCTGTAGCAGCTTGACCGTAGCCTTCAAATAAAGAAAATGCAATCCTTTTTCCCAATGAAATCACGTACACATACTCCAGCCAAATGGTTGCCTATTCTGAAATGTGTCATCACCTAAAATCAAGCCCGGGTGCTCATTGCCTTTCTCCATCTCCACGTGCTCCTGGAATCGGCTATTTTTTTTTTCTCCAAAGTTAAATGAATGCAAATAAAAAGGGAATTAATCACCATGGGTTTCCTCTTTTATATGCTCGGACGTGACTGCTCCCTGCTACTACCGTACTGCACTTCTTCACTATGAATCACCACATCTCAATGCTTCTCTTTTCTTCATCATCAATCACCACACTTTACCTCATTAGCTCCACGTCACCCTGTGCTCCACGTATAAAATCCCATCTAATCACCTCTTCATCAACGGGACCCATGCCTCATCTTCCATCTAAGGTGAATGAACGGCTACATTCTCCACGCAGAAATCAAAGCCTCCCCGTAATGGAACAATGTTGTTCTTGAATGAAAACTCCAATAAAAAAAATGGTAAAACCAAAAGAAATGAAAAGGGCCCTGTATAATCAATAACATAAAATCAAAGTAGATGCTTTTCATTCAATCGTAATAGCGTTTTCAAAATAAGAAATGGAGAACTAAAAATGTGCTTTCATTTTCCCATCCCGTGACAACGTAAATTTATTCCAGCATAAGCATCTAAGCTTCTCCAAAAAAAAAATGTTCAAAAGTAAAAGCGTCCAAGAAAAATCTGTGAGTGGGTGGCGGCTGCTGGAACCTCTCAAAGCTACATTATCCCTCCTCTCTCCTTCTCGGACATTTTTCCCTTGTTCAAAAACCGAGAGAAAAACAAAGAAGTTCCGTGGCCAAAAAACCAAGTGGCGGCAGGACTGCACCTTAAGGCCGTGTGTCCCTCTTTTAGGGTAGGGTCCACACAATAAAACCCTAGGGTGCCAAGTCATTAACTT